TGGTGCACGAGGTTGTCCATTCAGAACAAATGCCTTCAAATGCAGGCGGCACTGCGCTGATCGTTTCCGGCCCACTGGTCGTCATCAGTGGTCAAAAGATCTGTAAGCGTGTGCTATGGCAGTATCAGCAAACCATGGCCCTCCTAGCCTGGTATGGGCTAGCAGATCCCTGACAACTGGTTCGCTGTTGGTGGATGCGTTTGCGTTCCTGCTGGTCGCCCAGTCATCCGCCTCTTTGCTGGTTAAAATCTTGGGACATTTTCCACACTCTGTGGTGCAATTCACAAGACATGCTTTTCAGCCGTTTGCCCATTGCACCTTGTCATTTGGCCGCAACACTGTTTACCTCGTTTAAGAGTGAAGATTTAAATTTCCCAGCTCGTTTTTGAATTTTGATGCGACATAGGGTAACCGCTATTCTGACTACTTTGCCTGCAGTGAGCTACAGGCAAACACAGATTTTGGGTGCGGATATAATGTCAGCAGGCTTTTTTTCAAACGCGTTGTCGTACTGTTGAGATTCTGTACATTTCAAGCTGAGTGCGCACGCATATTATCTACGCAGGCTATACGACATTTCAAAATTATCAGCAGAGGTGTTTGCTTAAAGCCCAGTCATGCATGTTTTGCAGATATACTAGCGCTGTATGGCTCTGCTACGGGGGCGTTGACTATTTACTGGGTCCCCTAGCACTCCCCCTCTACTTTCTGGCAAAATATACTATCTCTTTCGAAACTATTGCAAATAATTCGGACCACACTTAATGAAGCCTAATAAGTATTTAATACTTTGATCCATGTTCCTATAGCAGATGCGTTTTTGGCTCGAAAACATTACATAAGTATACTTGTAATATTAATTACTTTAAAGCATAGTTACAAGATGATTCGGTTACTATAGGACTTCAGTTTTTGAAGAAACTCCTTTTAGTCCACCTGCGAAATCTATCCTTTGCAAAAAAACGACTTAAAATGTATTAGGAATTTCTCAAATTAATTTTTGGTGTTCTATTAAATTCAAGTATACCTTATATAAAACATGGGTAACAATATTCATTTTTTCAATAATTTCGTAGACAATTGAGACTTCTTCAAAGCTTATACTTGCAGTAAGTGCAAAATTAAATTCGCTCATCCCAAATGGTTTGGATTTGATCTGCATTTACATTTTCACTTCAGGTTTAAGAACGACAAGCCATATATTTTCAGTATAAGGAAAATCATACAAAACTGAATGCTATCACGGAGAGGTCACACTGGGTTCCTAAAATTCGGCGGTGGATGCGAGCCATATTGTAAACTTTACAAGTAACCTTGTTGAATGCAGAGCCACGATGTTTTACGGACGGGCGTTTTACGGTCTTAAAAATCTTATTATTATAATACCTTTAAAAACCGAATGATTCTCTTCCTTCATATGTAACAATTTAAGAAGACGCAATTTTCTACCAAAAAGTAGAAGAAGGAATTTTTTATGCATGTTTACAGTGAGATGTTTGAATTTTTACGATCACTGAAAATCAATGGGAAAAATTCGTTCTACACAAGTGGTCATTTTTTGTTGTGTAGTTCTTGCAGGCGGTCTGAAAGAATTTAGTTCAAATAAAGTCATCCTAAAGTACCTGAATTATGTTGATATTATTCTGTACGACAATTAATATTACAACTATACTTACGGTGCTTGGGCTTACTCATTAAAAGTGCGCCGAAATTCCGTAACGCGTTTTCGTTTCGAAAAGATTAATTAAGAAGGGTTGTAAAGCTAATCGTTGGGCAACGTAATTCAATACGAATGCCGACCTTCAAAAGAATTTCCTTTCGGCTGCATGCAAAAATCATGCTTTGTAAAAAACGACTACTTAATCAGCATCTTATTTTCTCCCTGATTTTCGATGCCCTTGTATATTTAATTATATTTGGTTTGAGACATGTTTAAAAATATGCATTCATTAGCCATATAAATTTTATACTCGAAGGAAGAGAATAATTCCGTTTTCGTAAAGTTTCTAATTGTGGAACTTTTTAATACCGTGGAATGCCGTGCATAAGACGCCATGTCTGTGAATTTGTCAGTATGGTTTGTGAAGTTCACAATATGGCTCAAACCTACCGCTAAATTTTACGAACCCCATATAGTCTCCTCCTAATACCGTAGAGGAATGTAAGGATTTCCGTACGCGGAAGTATTCAGCTTGTAGTTTGGAAACGCTGAATCCAAGTGTAAACGCAGATCGGGTTCAAAATTACTCCGGAATAGAAAACGTTTTCGAAAACCGAATTATACTATCCCTTTGAATATAAGATTGGACGAAAACGTAATTGTCTACCAAATGAGCAAAAGACTAACTATTTTTATGAATGTCTTTCATAAAATATAATTTATTATTTAAGGACATCAAAAAATCGGTGAGAAAAATCCATGCTAAGTAAGTAGTCATTTTGTACAAAGTGTGGCTTTTGCATGCAACTGAAAGGAAGTTCTTTCGAAAGCCGGCGTCGCGGAGTAACTGAATTATTAAAGAATTAAGTTGACCGATGATTAGTTTAACAGCCCTATTTAGTTAATTTTTTAAACAAAGACGCATTTCGTAAATTCGGCTGACATTTTCTGTGTTACCCCACCTACTCTAAGCAAACGTTTCTGGTCTAAAACGCATTTAGGAATTTCGCTTAATATTTCATGGGTTTGCAATTGTGCTTTATGTGTTCAATTGTATAAAAAATGATGAATTATTTGGCATATATTCAAAATCGGTTCAGCATTCTGAAGTTATTGAAGATACTATTGGTTATCTAGAAGCTTCGATAGCTCGCATATAAATTGAATCCTTTATCAGATAACTTATATTTGTAAACGCTTCTATGATTAATTCTGCCCTGGAAAATAAGTTCCGGGATCTACATGTTCAACCTCAACATCTATGTCTGAAAGGGTAGCCTTGAAGCACAAACGTAGAATAAAGGAAGTTTGCAAGAACGATGCAGTACCCCAATTATTAGTGAATTTTCTGGCGTGTATGGATGTTAAAAAGCTTCGCCTTGATCTAAAAATTTCAAGCAAATAAGCTGGTAGAATTGCCTGTTCGATGAAGGACTTGGGCCTTCAGGCCCGGCTTGTCTGATTGGTGCGGAGTGGATTTACCGCATCTTTCGACCGACGAGCCTAATTCAAGTGATTGATTGTTGTTGCCCTAAGAGGTGAATTTCAATTGCAAAAAGAGATAGCAGACTGGTATTTGTCGCTGTACTTCTTCGAGCCGTTACCTTACTGCGCATACTTTCGATCTGGTCTTCCTTTATGCTGTTTGGCCGTCGCTTCCAACGATGTTTAACCGTGTACGCCATAGCAGGATGGCAGCAGACGTGGTCTATTATTTCATGCTTGATGTAGACCTTTCCCGAAACGTCAGTCTAAATCTATGAACGTGGGAAATACGATTCTGACAAATATTCTGATTGCAATTGGACAGGCTTTGCTTATAAAACACGGCGATTTCGCCCTCTAAATTTTGAAAACCCATCCATAACAATAAAATGTTCTCGTGTAATCTATTATAAGCCAGTTAACCCCGCATTACCAGCGTTATATCCCAGATGTTCCAAATTACCAGACCTGCAGCACAGGTAACATGTGACGTTAGCCTATACCCTTAATTTGTACGTAAATTCACATTAAGAATCAGACACTAGTTTCGACAGACAACTTCATATACCCTCACCAAAATTAGTGTTGACATAGGTCACCGACAGTAAGGAATTCGAATAAGCGGATACTTCAAGTCACAAACTATCTGATTTTGATCAACAAATGGGCCATTTGCTTCTTAACCGTGTGAATTACGAACGCCTTAGTAGGCTGAATATAGTTTCATCTATAACCACAGAATAAATTCCCTGCTTTAACGTTCTCAGATGAAGGATCCTCTGTTAAGGTCTGTGTATAAGAGATAACCACTGTCAATTTGTGAGACCGAATTCCTGTTCTTTATCGGACAGTGTATCATAACCGGGAACTGAGGCGTCATTGGCCTTCCTTCACTCGAACACAGGCAGTGACGCTGGTAGTTGTAGGATTACAACGCTACATGGAATGAGAGTTTCTTTGAAGCTAAACTCATTTATCTGTTGTCTACTAACTGTAGTACATTTATGCAACATGCAAGCACATTCGAAAGGCCGGTCGTTGATAACATAAACACAGTTCGTGACTAACAAGCGAAGTTGTCTTAAACGGCCACGAACCAACTGTGTTGGATCGGGACCTTTGCGTCGTTCAGATACCTGAACCCTCAGTCAACCATCAGTCATGTCGTGTAGGGGCAGATTTTACTGAGACGAAATGCCAACCGATGCCCAGAGCACTGACTGTGGAATTCGCTCCTCCGATGACATTTGCACAAGGGCTCCACTACCAACAATCGATCCTGCAGGTTAAGTGCGGATTTCACCGGAGCGCAAAATTAATCACTGTATGTCAGACTCGCCGGGACATCTTGTATTCCAACTACACTGGTGGAGCATAATCAAATACTAAGTCAGACATTATCAGCTGATTATTATTAGGATTTGGCTAGGTGACGCATCACGCAGACACTCATGTGAGCTGGGGCGGTTACATGCGCGAAGGCATCAGCGCTTAGGCGAAATAATTATAAGTTTATGAGTTGCCACGGTGTATGACGCATTAAAAAAAACCGCGATTTCGCAGAACAATTCTGCACCCTCTGCCTCAGTGCTTCGAGCAGAATTGTTCATCATTTTTCTAACGGATTCGGTTGCAGTTTTAAAAAAACATCCTTTTGTTGAAATTTTAACCATCGCCACTCCGCCCATCGATAGATGACAAACCTTTTGCGTCTATCAAACTACACTCTGTTTGACATGCTTGAATTCCACACCTTCTTTGCATGGTGTCGTGAAAAGACAAAAGATCAAGTTTTAGAAATTTATGATGCGCAAAATCGAAAGACTGTAGGAAGACAGGTTGGCAGAAAACGGAATCAGACGTGCCCACGAGCATCACCAGCGGAAGTAGTCGAAAGTGTCACCACGGTATAGGCATCTGGGTCTGATCCGAGAAGGTTCCAAACCAGTAATTCGAAGATGCCATCAGCAGCAGCCTCTGGAGGGACTAGAGCAGTTTCGGTGGGCAAAAGAACAGCAGACGCACGTTTCAGCAATTGGACCTAGGTGCAGAAAATCAGAAAAGGGGAAAGATTAACGAACTGAGAGCCTTAAATGAAGCTTACGGCAGCTCAATTGAAATTACTTGCCGCATGCAGTCTATTGGAAAAAATTAACAGGATAACGTGGAGTAACCCATGAACTAAGTTTTCGTTTCGAAAATATTAATTATGTAGGGTTATAAAACTAATGATCGTGCAGCATAATTCGATAATAATTCAGGTACTTCAGGATGCCAGCTTTCAAACAAACTTCCTGTTGGCTGCATACAGAAATCCGTAGAAAAACGTCTACGTAAGTGGCATGTATTTTCTCATTAATTTTCGATGCCCTAAAAACCCAATTTTATTTCATGGTAAACATGCGTAAAAATAGCACTCTTCGGTTCATTCGGTAGACATGTACGTGTTCTTTCAATTTTATACTCGAGGAAAGGGTATATTTTGGCTTTAAAAAGTTTCTAATTGTGAGATTATTAATACCGTGAAATGGTAAGTTGTAGTTTAGAAACCCTGGATGCAAATGTAACGGCTGGACGGATTCAAAATTAGTCGGGAATTGGAAAAATTCTTGAAAACGGAATTTTATACTTCGTTTGATTTTAGTGTTGGAATAAGACGTACTTTCCTATGCATGTTTTCTGTGAAATGTAATTGTAATTTTAAGGGCATCGAAAACTCATGTTATTTAAGTAGTCATTTATACACAGTGCAGTTTTCGCATGCAGCAGAAAAGAAGTTTTTCCAAAACCGACATTCTGAGGTAACCGAATTATTATAAAATCATGCTACAAAATGATCAATTCTACGACACTTCGTACGTAATCTTGTCGAAACGAAGACGCATCTCGGAATTTCGATTGGCATTTCACAAGTTAGCCCACCTATTGTACAGTCGCATAATTGAAGGGCGTTTACTGGAGCTAACCTTACAGGAATTGTCTTTGGATTGACAGTGAGGAATGGAACGTCCATTTTCCTCCAAACTGCCGTTCGTATTCTTCTTGCTGAGTTCGTTAACAACGAAAACGAATGCCGTAGGTTTTTCTTGACCCACTCTAAAAGTAATGTAAGAATCAATTTCGAGACTTACGTCTGCATTTTGTCAAGTGGGACCTGCATAAAAGAAGACGTGGAGAACGCGTGAGTGCAGACCTCATCAGTAATGAAAATTATGCAATAAGACGAAGGCTTCTATCACACTGACAGTTTTACTCGAACTCACGAAATTTCCGATGGCAGGAAGCAGTCCTTGGTCATTACTGTGAGCTCTATCTTTCAGAATGAGCACGTGGCTTGTTAGCGAAAACGCGACGGCAACATTGTGCGCAAAAGAGGCGGGGCATGTGTCCTGTGCAGAGAGAGAGAGAGTGAAGTTCTCAAAGTAACGAACGCTCGCGCTGGGGTAAGGCCTAAATGTGCTTGGTGAAACATGTGAGAACGACTTTTTTCGCAACATTCCTGCGCCCATCCATGTCGCTTGACGTCAACTGCGTGCTGCAACTAACTGAGCGCTCACAAACGTGTGTATGTAATTGTAAAACATTTCTCTACTTATGAGGTTGATGGGCCCTTTCCTTCAATTTATAGCTTTGGTGGATAAGCTTACATTGTGGCCAAATACGCCTAAATACAGGAAACGGACGCGTCAGCGTCTCATTCGAAGGAATGGGGAGGTGACCTTCAGTCGGATCTTATTTCGAAGCCGTATCTGCAGTAGAGAAGCCCCAGCCTAACCCCTAACTCTCACCCTAACCCCAATCCGTAACCACTAACACCAACCCCCAACCCCTGGACAAAACCCCTAACCCCAACAGGTACAACTACGAGGTAATATCATAAATGACCATTCTTTCAGTCCCTCATCATGGTGAACAACTAGATATACCCTAGTTAAGTCTAGTTTGAATATAAAAATCAAGGATTCAGTTAAGTGGTGTAGAAATTCTCAATAAGCCATTTCACGTAGAGTGCCTAATATATACAATTTTGGCTTATTGGTTCTCAAGACAACCACTGAAGTAGTCTGCCTTCGTGGAGCCCATTGGCATACATATGTTTTCGGTAATTCGTTAACAGGCCGCCGATGCAATAACATGGACAATGAATATGTGAACCATGGACGGGGTTTAGATGTGTCTAGACGGGCTAATTACACTTCTCGTTCCCACGACGTCCGGGCGAGGAAGCCGACGATTTGTGGTCGTGGGGAGGGGGTAGTGTCTGAACGATGCCTGCATGTCAAGCTCGCGAGACACGAATAACTGACAGTAGGGGATTGGGGCGGTATGCGATCAACACCAGGACTTGGCCTGGGTAGACAGACAGCATGTTCAAACGCCTTCAGCCTGTATACATCTGGGTTCGCTTGCTAAATAGCTACTGTCTCGGCTGTTGGTAGCATCCTTTGACGAAGGCATTCTGAGTAGGTTGCTGGTGCCCCGTAGACAACCTGTAAGGCTTCTCTGTGTCGACTCAGATTAGAAAGCAATTTTTGTGTGCTTACAAATACGAGAGGTTATTTTTGTCCGCCCCGAACACAGAACGCTGCGCCTTGAACACAGCGCCGCAGTTAAATATGCTTCAATCTACTGGAAGAAGTACTAGATCGACTTCATGTATTGTGACGGATGAAAAATGCTCATGCACGCAGGTACCACGTAGACCTGAGAAGAGACGTCCTTTGGGCGTGGAACAATGTAGACATGAACGAGATGTGAGCAGTTACAAGCTCCCTTTAGTGTTTGCTGCTGTAGTATCTACGGTTCTGAATATTTATTAAAATAACTCCCTGGAGTGCTTTGCTCTCAGTTGAAACAGGCGTGCAAAGCAGAATTCATTGGTACCAGCAAATTGCGCGACGGCTCATTAACTGCATCCTGTCGCTTCGTAACATAAACAACTAGTAAGAAGAATACAGCAGTTTGAATTCGTGCAAAAAATCAATGCATGACAGCAAGGTCAGGGTGGAGGGTAATGCAGGCTAATTAATAAAATTAGTAACTTAAACACAATATGGCAAGGATAGTGGGAAAACAATGAAAAGCAAAAAGGACAGGGGAAATTGTGAAAGTGAAGGAGCTGGAGATTACCACGACAAATATAGACTGCTCACATGTTACAGCTGTTCACATACAGTGCGTGACCCAACTCATGAAAGGTGTCGAAATTTACGAAAGACTGCCAATCACTCGCAAACCGACATCATTTCATAAGTACAATATCTATGTTAATTAAGCACAAGTTTTAAAGAATTAAAAACATAAAAGAAATATTAAAGGCAATGTTGCGCTGTTTAGAAATGCATATTTTTTAGAACATCGCAATATCCCGAAAACTTCAGTAATGGCTCTAATTTACTAAACTCCATTTTTATACGTAAAGAATGTATTCTTATAAAATAAACTTAGCAAATATGAAAATGCGAATAAAATAACGTTAAATAACAATGTTTCAGGGAAATTTACACCCAAATTTCCTTTGCAAAGTAGTGTGATTTCATATATGGCGTTTTGCCAATAGCCTACATTCAGAGTATAGACTCAAAAACAATTTTTCAAGGATTCGCGATATTCTTAACTTGGTTGAGTTGAATGAAATGCGGTCCAACAAGAGAAACGGGATTTGGCTTGATTTCACTGATGGGGACGTCGTAGGAACAAACGTTTTCATAGGGTGTCCTGTTCTGAGGCCAGTCTCTAAGAAATTTAAATAGAACTGACAGGCGTGATCGTAAACATATCGTTTTGTGTTTTCAGAAAGAACTTTTCTTCCGTCAAATTAATTTACATTTTTCGTTCATTGTGGATTACACCGAGTTTCAAATCGGTCTTACAATATTGTTGAACACTTCATGATTTTCAGTGTTTTCGTCCGATCGTTCGTAAAAACAGATTCTGAATTATTCATCTGTTAAAATCCTTTCAATAAGATAATTTTTCAAGGCATTTACTGAATTTGCGAGTGTCTGAGCGCTCATGTTCACGAAGGTCGTTTGGGTCGCATGGGAAAACTCACTCAAACATCAAACTTCATTTTCGAAAAAATGGTCGTCCAAAACAAAAGTCAGTAACAAATATGCCTTTGATCAATAAGAAAACTTTTCTTAAGAATTTACCTATTTAAGAAATGCTTTAGTTGATAGATCTCTGTGTATTTTGAATTTTTGTACGGTGAGGCCAAGAAAAAATTTGTCTCTTTTGGTCGTTTCTTTCACTTTTCTAAACAATGCCAATACGTCTCAACCGTAAACGTAAGATCATATCTTTATTATACACTGCTGTCATTTGTACTGTTTTTGCTAGCTTTTAGACTCCGTTGTTCGATTTTGAATGCCTGGCAGAGCGCCCATATAAATACTAATATTTTGTCGAAAATATTAATGTTTTTCTCGTTCCATTTCTAAACTACTTATGTACAAAAGCCAAATTACATGACAAGTAATGTTTCGTATGTTCAAAACTGGAAATGATCATTCGGTGGTAGTCAACTATGTGACATAAGGTGGAATTTTCCAATTTCAGCCCATTTAAACAAGGGAATCCCTGTCTGCGTTATTACTGCACTTTAGGCACCAAATCGCACATATCTGCTAATATGACTTTTAAGAATTGATAAGGCATCCGGTTTTTTTAAAATAACCTTTGAACAAGTTGTTTTCCACGGCTAGCATCGGACATAGAATAAATTTTCAAGTCCGGCAAAATCCGTCTATTAAAATTCGCGGGAAATTACTTTTTTCAATGAAAAAGTCGCTCAGATGCTTAAACAGAATCTAGACCATGTAATAGCATAGGAAATTCCACGAATATATTTCAGCATCCATTTCGCCAGAATCTATTAATATTTTGCTAGATATAATTACGTAAACACAATTTATGCACTAGAAAAGGACATTTCATTGAAGGAAATGAATGACCAAGCAAAATGTACAACGCTAAAGACGTTCAGAAATTCTCGCATCAGTTGCCGTTATCAGGTTTCATGAGATAGGTCACCAACCGTGGGTCTGCTTTCGTCCGTCGTATATAGGCGCGCAATTTGTTGGCACTAATAAATTCTGGTTTGCACGCATGCATATACCTCCTATCGGGGAAAAATGCCTCAAATTTCTAAGTTCGCATGCAAAAGCCAGTCCCATTTTAAAGCCCAATTTTAACTGGTAAACGTGACGTGGATTACCGCTACCGGAAGGCTCATTCATAATGACTGATACCGGATTAGGGGCTGAGACAGGTTACCGTGAATGCCATCCATGTGTTAATCCAGTGGATGTTGTATCTACTTTTTAATTAAGGAAGCGGCAAATGAGTAAGTATTTGAACAATTAAGTACCCAACTGAGACCTTCAGGTATCGATACCTCAAAAATCAAATGTGACAGTTCAATGTGGACCTACTTCATAGGCATAGACAGTGTGAAATATGATGTCTCTCCTCTCGGAAAGTCGGGTTGACCAACTCAACAGAAGAGGCAGACGGAAGGCCTGTCTGTCGGAGGCGCAGATGGCGACGCTGATTGGACCCCTCCAGAGTTTTGATATTTCTCTCAGCCCAGGGAGACTGATAGTAAAAATTGTGAGGAAATAAAAGTCTTCACAGGATGTGTCCACTGCCGATAAATAAGTCAATGTCAAAGGTCCACCTTGTGCGGCCAGTATTTTCGAGGTAAATTAAATGACAGCTGTCAGTTTCCTTGTAAATTCTGTAGCCACTTACAGTGAAGGTGATTTTTGATTGATAGTTCTTGCCGCACATAAAAACAGTGCTTCCCAGTTTCGTTCATGCATTATCCTGCTTTAGCTGACAGGACTCTGCAGGGCATTTTTATTGAACTTGACAATCGCTATCAAATTACTTCTAAACTGTGTTTTCTGATTTGTTCAACCGTAACTACTAAGGTATTTCTTGGAGAATTTGATGGCATCTACAATAACCGTAAGAACATCAAAAAATACCTCCACTGTAATCGAGTAGTTAGCATATACTGTGCTATTTGCAATGGGATTTCCAAATCTATTTTGAATTACACAATGGCATCAATGTGGCTGAAATTCTCGCAAGAGATGTCAATCATGTGAGCCGCGAGCTGCTCGAGTCATGGTTCTTCGGTCCGCAATTCATCAACAAGCGCAGTGACCTCCCAGTCCCGTATTCAGTGCTGAAAATTTCCCTGAACGGGGGAATCAGTCACTTGGGAAGGGCGCTACGAGGAACAATCGGCAGTGGGCAAAATAACCGAGTAATAATCACGTCAACATCCAACACGGATGCTGAAACTGCGGCAATTAAAAATTCGGACGCGCACCGACGTGTTATAACCCATACCGGTGGTCGCGAGAGCTGTTAATTATAGTAACCATGTGGTCCCATGACGTCTACGTACTGTAAATACTGAAGTCTTTGTGCCTCCATAACCCTGTATCTGATGATGGGTTCGAGTAAGAATCCGAGACGTCAGGCCAATAAACTTCTTGTTCCGGTGGTCGCATATTCTTCTTCTTCTTCTGAGGGGCGATTTGCTCGTGTGTGTTGTCGCTCCCCCCTGGACAGGATTCAGTTTTGTATGTGGCGCCCGGTAGATCAGATGCCGATCAATAGCTCGGTTACTTGTGTCAAATAAGGACTAACTTTTGAGTACCAAACTGGCTATCTTTTCATTGGCTCGGCCAATGACTCACCGCTTCCGCAAAGGCGAAACTGTGCCCTGGCCTTTGTATATGGCCATATATCGATGCCTGTCTATCATCGCGACTGATTGAAATCAGGGGGCATGCTATTTTGCGCAGAGTCGTTTCCCAGTTTCAGAAACATACAGTACGTGACCGGTCTCATGAAATGTCGGCTGAAATTTTGAAATGCGTTTTCGATTAGGAAGGATTACTTAGGTGGGATTGTAACGTTGCTCATTATAAGACGTAATCATATAGTATTTCGGACTCGCCAGGATGTCGGTTTTTAAATGCACTTCTTTCTGACCTCTCGCAAAAAACCGTGCTCGGTAAAAATAATTACTTAGGTAAAATGCATCTTCCACACTGATTTTCGATGCTTGTACAAATTCAAATATATTTTATAGAAAACATACACAGAAATATGAAAAATATGCTTTCTTTTATTCCTTTGGTAGAAAATTGCATTATTTTCACGTTTAGTACTCGAAGAAATGGTATCTTTTGGTTTTCATAAAGTTCCTAATAACAAAACTTTTAAGACCGTGCGGTTCATACACACACCATCGCACATGCCCGTTTACCAGTGATCCTCGTGAAACGTACAACAAAGTCAGCATCCATTACAATATTTCAGTAAACTCTACATGGTATTCTTTTAGAGGCACTTGGTGATATATGATTTTCCTTACACGGATAACATGACCCTTGTAGACTGGAATCGCTAAACCCTAATGCAACGGTTTATCTGACTCAAAATTAATGGCGAATTGAGAAACTTTTCCAAAACCCAAATATACGTTTTTGTCGAGTATAAATCGTGAAGATAATGTGATTTTCTACCAAAAGAATAAAGAAAGCATATTTATGTGCATATTTTCTATAAAATATATTTGAATATATAGTACCATTGGAAATCAATGTGAAAAAGACATGCTTCCTAAGTAGTCATTTTCTACCGAGCATGGTTTATGCAGAAGGTCGAAAAGAATTCAACAGCCGACATCCTGGAAAGTCCGAAATACTATAGGATTACGTCGCATAATGAGCAATATTACAATCCCACCTAAGTACTCTTTGCTAATCGAAAACGCATATCGGAATTTCAGCCAACATTTCATGAGATCAGTCACGCACTGTACCTCGCACTGCAATTTCGGAACGGCGCACCGTAGGCCACTGTTCTCTATTTCATTGTCGGTAGCGATATGTCGGTCTCATTATGTGCTATCTGATAGCGGATTACGCTGTAAAAGCCGCCACAATTTCAAAGGGGTTTAGTCTCCTTGATTTCGCCTCCGAAACCTTCCCTATGTAGACGTTAGACAGCCAAAACTTCGTCTTCTCACAGTTAAGTCGTTCATAAGTAGGCCTTTTTAAGCACTTACGCATCACGAAATGTCAATAACCGTTAGATATGAATATGGAATGCAGCTATTTCCATTTCTTCTTACCACAGTGTGTTATAACTCGCTGGAAGGGATTTCTAACAAAACTGGGCTTCAGAAGACGAAGATGCGATCACTGAAACAAAACATCTTTTGGCCTGACATTTTGGATTCTTCCTCGAATTCATCACTGGAGACCGTCTCTGATGATGGGCTCGAGTGAGTATCCGAAACGTCAGGCCAATAAACTCCTCATTCCAGTGATCACATTTTTTCTACTAGACTGCTTCCTGGGTTTGTGACCGATTGGGTGGTTGCCCCCGAACTGGGGGATGCGTCCTGAAGCTCAGATGTATGGTTCTGTCGGAAATCTGAAACTCGCCTAATCGCTTCTATCTTTTAATGTTTGTTGCCGTACGGTACACCGTAGTTCTTATCTTCCCATCTGTCATTCTTGTGACATCTTTATTAAGGAAGGTCAACCGGTTATTATTTTCCCCTTTTCATTTGAAATCAGATATCGGGAAAGATTGAGTTTTACAAGGCCTTGAGATCCTGAACGTCGTCACTCTTAATTGCGACAAATCTGTCGTCGACGTACTTTTGGAATTACGAACGCAGAATCAGTCGCTGCAGCGTCTGCGACACCGTTTCGGCAACCACCCAGGCAGGGGTGGGCAGAGCAAATATGCTGGAGAAACTGTGGGATTACACTGGACGCAGGTGGCCGAGCATACAATCATCGATGTTGTCTTTTTTCCCCCTTAAAGCCGGTTTTCGAAGGTGGAGAAGGTTCTGAGACACAGCTTTAAGAGTTCATTGACGTGCACGTGTTTAAATTCTTCGTCAGCTTCATCACACCTTTCCCGGAGAAGTTCGTCAATAGGGGAAAAAGGTGTCAATGACTCTCAAAAGCCACATATTCCGCAATGGCGCGCTTCTATGATCTGCCAAACATGCATAAACTGGGAGTGCTCTTTCGCGTCATAGTCACCTTACGCGTCACCTTGATTATTGGGCTGTCGAATTCGATTCACCAACGGTTTTGCTTCCTCATTGAGGACCCTGAGCGAACAGTGCAGTCGAATGAACAGTTTCGGGCGAGCATCAGACATCCAGAAATACAGTCAGACGTGACGGTGGTATAGTTTGACCTGGTCTCTTTATTCACTTTCATACCAGTCGATCTCGCTTCCAGCACTATTGACGAATTTCTCTAGGATAGGTATGATGATGTTGACCAAGAATGTGAACGAGTGCACGTTACTGACCTCCTAAAACTGTGCCTCAGAACCTTCGACACTTTCAACGACCGGGTTTACGAGTGGAAGAAGGAAACGCCTATGGGCTCGCCCTTGTCTGGGTTGATTGCCGAAGCGGTTCTGCAGGGACTCGAGCGACTGGTCCCCCGTTAGTATTTCCTGAAATTCTCGGCCAGAATGTCGACAGCACATTTGTCGTAATCAAGAGGAACGACGTTCGGGACTTCAAGGTCTTATTGAGCTCAATATTTCCGCACATCCAATTAACAATGGTGGAGAAAAACAACGACCAGTTGGCATTTCTTGATGTAAAGATTTTAAGGACGGCTAGTGTGTGTGTAGGAACCACGGTATACCGTAAGGCGGCTAAAAAAATAACCACTCTATTGGTCACAGGCGCACTTGTGTCAGAACTCTCATACAACGAGTTCAAACACAACGACGACTGGAAAAAGGAGGAAGTAAGATGCCTACGTTCTTCATTCGCAGTCAATGGTCACTCGCGATCCTTCATACGTGAGTGTCGACGAAAGCATACCCTTGAGTGATCTAACTGTGAGAAGTCAAAGTTTTGGCTCGGGATCTCCTACGTGAATGATTTTTCAGAGTTCACAGCTAGAATCCTAAACCCTTTTAGGATTGGGGTGGCCCAAAGACCCGCTACTGGTAACGAAACAGTTAACAGGGGTCTGCATCATACCATTCTAAAATTGCCGCCGAGGAAGCTGGCAAATAACTCTGCACAAGACTGCATGAACACCAGGTTGCGGTCAACCGCAAAGACTGAGTTTCATTGACATATCACCATATACAACAGTTCAGAGTTCATGTGTTAGGCATGCCTATAATACGAGACGGCCGGCAAGACAGAACAACTCTAGAATAACAGAAACAGACACCTCACCAGTCTGATGATGGAAACGAGGAGGTTTCCGAAACGTCAGCGAAAATACTCTGTGGTTCACGATATCTCGTATTTTTCGAAGGAATACTGGACGGAATGTATGCGGTAGATGTGTCGTCTCGTAAAAAGTTGACTGAGATTCTCAAATATATATTGTCACTTTGTTAGGCTTACCTGAGGAGTTTTGTAATTGTAATTGTCGTGCAGCATAATCAGAAGAAATTGCAGTCACACCGTAATTGCGAATGCAATTCTTTTCGGTCGACCGAATTAAATTACAGTCAGTAGAAAGGACTACTTTATTAGTGAGTGTATCCCGTTGGTTTTCGCTGTTTTTATAAATCTAAGTGCATCTCGTATAAAACATGCACAAGAACGTTCTTTGATATACACCTTTGGTAACAAATTACATCTTTAGGGATTCGGTTCCGTTTATGATGGGAGGGCCCAAGGGCAAATCGATGTAGCAGCATACGCGATAGCCACGCAGGAGACAGATTTTACGCATGAACGTTAACGACCTGCCATAGAGACGCCAAAAGCAATCCCCAAGGAGCAGATAAATCACAGTTCGTGACTCAGACATGACTACAATATAGGACAGATGGCTAGGCTGAACGAATTCAGACCAGCTGGACAGAAACCTCCCACACTGATGATGGAAACTAGGGAGTTTCCAAAAAGTCGGGACAAACACATTGTAGTTCATGAAGTCATTTCTCCTTTTTTCGGCTTTTTAGTGGACTGTGAACGCGATACATACAGTGCGTGACCTATCTCATGAAATGTTGGCTGAAATTCTGAAATGCGTTTTCGATTAGGAAGGATTACTTGGTCGCGGGTGTGATACGGATTATCTTAATGCACACTCTTATAACATTCCGGACTCTGCAGGATGTCGACTTTTAAATGCACTTCTTTTTAATCTCCTGTAGAAAGCGTGCTCGAGAAAAAATGACTACTTAAGTCGCATGCATTTTTCCCATTGATTTTCGGTGGTCTTGGAAATTCAAATATATTTTATAGAAACCACAAACAAAAATATGCTTTCTTTTAGTCAATCAATAGAGGACCACGTCTTCTTTATATTTTATACTTAAGGAAGGAGTATAATTAGGTTTTAAAAAAGTTTTCTAATTATGAGACTTTTTAAGACCGCGATATGTCCATTCACATAGCATCGTACCTGGCCGTTTACCACTGCTCCTCATGAAATGTACAACATGGTCCGCATTCATTGCAAAATTTAATGGATCCTGTATGATATCTATTTAATTACATAGAAAAATATGGGATTTTCTTTCCGCGGAACGCATGCACCTTGTGGAGTGTAATCACTAAACGCTAATTCAACGAATGATCAGGCTCCAAATTTTTCAGAAATTAGAAAACTTTTTAAAACCTAATTATACTCCTTCTTTAAGTATAGAATATGAAGAGGACGTGATTGTCTATTGATTGACTAAAAGAAAGCACATTTTGTTTGTGGTTTCTATAAAATATATTTGAATTTCCAAGACCATCAAAAATCAATGGGAAAAACGCATGCTACATAAGTAGTTATTTTTTACCAAGCACGCTTTCTACAGGAGATTGAAAAGAAGTGCATTTAAAAGCTGACATCCTGCCGAGTCCAAAATGTTATAAGAGTATGCCTTAAGATAATCAGTATCACAGCCGCGACCAAGTAATCCTTCCTAAACGAAAACGCATTTCAGAATTTCAGCCAACCTTTCATGAGATAGGTCACGCACTGTATATATAAATACCTATGGTAGGGGGGCGTTCACCGACCGTTCTTACGGAAGTCACTAGTTCCATTGTGCCTTACGGGCTCTCTCTCTCGAGCTCAACCAGCAACCGCACAGCGGTAAGCACCCCCTACCACTGTAGATTCCCGATCGAAACCGACAGGACAACGGGCCCGTGGCCCACTGGTTAGAGGCGTTAAACTACTAACTAACAGGTCCCGAGTTCGAGCCCTAGGTGTTCCAAACTTGGTAATTGGGTATGACTGGCTGACGATGGCTAATGAGACCGAAATTGCCATTCCAGTCTCCCTTGTCTTTGTCCCATATCATTAACCGATGTGAGACTGCTCTTGGGGATCGAGATTAAGCCTCAAGGCACACCGGGACGAGGGTGTTCATAACGCTATCGCTGGGCACTCTCTAACATTGTATATGTTTATAACATTACAGCCGAAGTGAGACTGGAATGGCCATTTCTGGCCAATAAGGCGTGATCGGTCAGCCATTCCCAATCCCAGGCTAGGCAGCCTGGTAAGCTCAAACCCGCATTCGATTGATCAGAGACCAACTCCCTAATCATTTGGACGCGTTGTCCTGTTGGCTGCGGTACGGTATATTGACAATGATGGAGAGGCTCGCAATACAGCGGGAAAAGCGCTACTCTACCAAATACATACATATATTTATTTATTTATTTACGCATCTAGAGGTGCGTATGGAGAAGACTGAGCAAAACAATTCAAGGCGTTCCGCCAACAGCTTACCTATCGAGGTTAGCGAGAACGACAAGGGAGGTCCCCACTCGCGTTTGCATTTCTTGGTTCTCTGATCGGTCAACAAAATACGCGTGCATTCTTGGGACATGCGACGTTGGTACTACCTTGACGCAAAATTCCTGAATGTCCATATTTTCAGTACAGAAAGGCAGACCGGTAGGAAATTTAGCATTGCTGTGAATTTGCTGAAAAACCTAAAGGAATATTGGAAGCGCAGAGAAGAAAATGTCATTTGGAGGAGAAACACCTCAAGCTATATTCACTATAGCCAATCTGAATTAAGTTCCTAGCAGATCTTCAGTTCTGCTCATAGGAAAGCGAATTATGATAACGTTTAAGTACTAAAATCTGTATTTATGTCCACAAATCAACACAAGCAAAGCCAAGGTGTTCTGAAAATCATTCACAAGATAGGGACAGAAAATAAAGATTAGACATCATGACATAGATGACTGGACGTTGCCTAGGACGGTAGGCTCGTGTATGGTTTCTTCAGCCCCGGCAGAAATTTATGACGGGGTCGTGCGCTTGCCAGATTCCCTGACTGGGAGATGCTCTTCCTTTGACTTATTCATTTAGATCACTGGCCACCGCATTTCAGCGACGCCTGCGGTGGCATAATACAAGGGTCTTAACAGCACACTTTTCTTGCTCATTAAGTCAGATGGTCATTTGACAGCGATAACTCAGTTTCTACCAGTATACTTGGAGCTCAACAGTTTCTGCACGATAAGTAGGTAATTTGGCAGATTTTTAATGATACTATGTATCTCCGTACAGCGAGAGGATAAGTAGTTATCGAATCTCCTAATCTCATATTCTTAAACATTATGTTATTTTGTCAAAATGTGATTACATCCACGGCTCCCGGTGTAGATTCGTAGCTCAGGTAGCTAAAACGTTCGCTCCACTCAAGCCTTCCCTTTCTGTCGTGGATTCGAACCCCCTGAGTCACGATGTACATTGCGTGACCGATTTCATGAAATGTCGACTGAAATTCTGAAATGCGTTTTCGATTAGGAAAGATTACCTGTTCGCGGTTGCGATATTGATTATCTTGCGACATAATCCTATCATATTTCGGACTCGGCAGGAGGTCGACTTTTAAATACATTGCTTTTAAAATTCCTGTAGAATTTGTTCTTAAACTATGCAGAGCCTGTCTCATTGCCTCAGATATACGTGGACATTTTGCACACTCCTTTATTTCCAATGAGGTAGTCAGTCCTGTGCTTCGAGTGAAGAAAGTGACACGGAAGATATTTGCAGGTTTACTGGAGACGGGGCTCTGCGTGTAATAGATGAGACACTTACCCTCTAATGCAAGGGGTCCCCTACATAAAGTGAGTGACCGATCTCATGTAATGTTGGTTGAAATTCTGAAATCCGTTTTCGATTTGGAAGGGTTACCTGGTCTCAGTCGCAATACTGATTATTGTGCGACATAATCCTATAATATTTCGGACTTGGTGGGATGTCAGCTTTTGAATACATTGCTTTTCAACCTCTTGTATAATCCGTCTTTGGTAAAAAGTGCCTACTTATGTAGCATGCATCTTTGACATTGATTTTCAATGGTCTCGCGACTTCAAATATATTTTATAGAAATCACGAACAAAAATATGCTCCATTTCATTCGTTTGATAGAGAGTCATATCATCGTTTTATTCTATCAGGTTTTTAAAGGTTTTTTTGTTCCTGAATAATTTGGAACCTGGTCAGACGCTGCATTAGCGTTAAGCGATTTTAGACTACAAGATGCATGCGCTCCGCGTGAAGAAATTCACATATTCTTCTATGCCGTTAAAAATATATCGAGTCCACAAAATTTGCAGTGGAAGCGGACTATGTTGAATATTTCATGAGGAGCAGTGGTAAACGGGCAGTTACGATGTTATACGAATAGACGTTGCGTGGTCTTAAAACATTGCAAAATTAAAGACTATTTTAATACCTAATTAGATTCATTCTTCGAATATTAAATATAAAGATGACGTGCTTCTCTATCGAAAGACTGAAATAAAGCATATTTTTGTTTGGGGTTTCTATAAAATATATTTGAAATTGCAAGATCATCGAAAATCAAGGGGAAAAATGTATGCTACTTAGGTAGCCATTTTTTACTAAGTACAGATTCTATAGGAGTTTGAAAAGCAATGTATTTTAAAACCAACATTCTGCCGAGTCCGAAATATTAGAGGATTATGTCGCAGGATAATCAGTATTACGACCGTGACAAGGTAATTCTTCCTAATCGAAAACGCATTTCAGAATTTCAGTCGACAGTTCATGAGATCGGTCACGCACTGTACATCGTGACTCAGTGGGATTCGAATCCACGACAGAAAGTGGAAGGCTTGAGTGGAGCGAACGTTTTAGCTACCTGAGCTACGAATCTACACCGGCAACCGTGGATGTAATCATTTTTTGACATAATAACATAATGTTCAAGAATATGAGATTTGGAGATTCGATAACTAATTATCCTCTTGCTGTACAGAGATACATAGAAGTGTCCCCTGTTTCTTAATGCACAGAGGACCAAACACGAACTCCTTGGGGAAATCCAGAGTTAACCTTTATAAACTCCTCAAACTTCGCCAGTTTCCTAAATGTACTTATACTGCGAAAGTCAGCTACACTATTATATTACATACATATCACAACATAAGGTGAGTTTTTCTGAACATGATGAACCCCCTATGAACTAGTACATTTTTGGTCGGGCAGTTATCGACCTAGCGCTTTAAGCCTATCATATTATTATTCGGCTAAAAACTTAAAGAGCAAGAATGAAAATTTACGCGTCCTAGAATCCATCCGATGATGCCAAACCTCCTTGCTACAGCATCGAACAGTTTTATTAGTTATGGTTCATACGGTCAGTCGAATAAAGTAATTGGCCATGAACAGACCTACTAATTACTCACTATCTTAAGAGTTGAATGGAGTTATCTACAAGGACGTAATTGAGAAACAGAAAAACACGCTCTACTAAACGAGCAACGTTGTACGAATAGTAACTTCTCACTAGTGGACACCATTCTTTCTAATGAAACCTTAAATAAGCGGTGTAATACAACCAGTGCGCCAAAATGATAGTGAAATTACACAGCCAAACCTGCACGTTCCAAGGCTCTTTTAACTGTTGCTAGAGCAGGCATGTCAGTGTCATGAGATCGGTCACTTACTGTAAGCTTAGCCCTCTCTCTCTCTCACACGCGCGCACGTCATAAAGTACAGAATAAGAGGAGGCGCGTTATCCCGTCGGTTTCCGGTCCTCCAGGCAATTCACATATATTGCCAAATGGAATGCGCTGATGTGCTGTACGCGTGGAGTCCTTAACTTTGTCCTCATTCCTTCCACAACACACAACACCACTGTAAACTGTTTTTGAGTAATACCGTTATGAGAAAGCTTAGTATCGCACGGACATAAAGAATCCGCTGAAAGCTTGCGCTCTAAGTAGACTTATGGGCAGAGCAGGGGGAATGTGGAACCACGTGGTGCTGCGTTAATTCCCAGGGTTGATTGGAGTTAAGGTTAAGGATAATTTTACTGTTAGATTTAGGCTTAGGTGAGTTAGGAGTTGCGCCAGTGTTAGTTGAGTTCAAGCTAGGACCTGTTAATATGTACCCAGTTGAGTTTGACGGAAGGCAAATTTCGGTGCCTCAAAATCTTGTTCCCTTGAAAACCAAAGGACATGTTTCAGAAAATTAGGGCATAAACGGTGTGCGCAAAAAAACATTAAGAACAGGTAAGCCTGTTCTCTGCGAAGATGTATTTGATTTCAGGTCTCTTGTTAACCTGTTTCGCAGATTTTAACATATACTGCATTCCATTCGAACGCAAATCAAGAATTTACAGTCTGCCGCTGGGGGTTCGACGCATACCGATTACGTTCTAATATATGATAAATCTAAGTTATTCCGTCGGCCAGTTATTTGCTCGGAGATCCCCATGGAGTCATCTTCAATTAATTTATTGCTAGAAATGTGCACAACGCTACGCTGATAAAGATGTCTATTTGCCAAACATACGGTACCTGTTCGAGCTCTCCGCGTGAAAGTTGGGCTGTCGTATCCACAAAATTGTACCCGTTCAGAAGGGTCACCTTCTTTCTTTCGACCAGGTACCACTGCAGGCGATCGTCGACTGAAATGCAGAGTAAACGCTAATCAAATATCATTAGGAACCTTTTCATCGGGTTTTATTTCACAATTTCCCATAAAACTATACGGCCCAATGGTTAGAGGCATTGGACTTCTAGCTAACAGGTCGCGAGTTCGAGCCCCAGGTGTTCCACGCTTCGGGGTTGAGTATGATTGGCGGACGGCGACTAGTAAGCCAGAAATGGCCATTCAGTCTCCCTTGTCTTTGTCTATAATATCATTGTGCCTATATGAAAGACTATATTTATCGCAAAAATTCATACAGGTGAGGTTTGTAATGGTTTATCCTCATGACCACATCAGAAAACTTGCATTACTACGCTGGGCCATAGGTTTGCGCTTAAACGCTCAAAACCATTTCTCAAGGATGCTGCACTTAAATCTTCCAGTTTGCACAGAATGCAAGCATCCGTGTTGATGTCACAAGATCGAAATTCTCCCTTGCACCTACCAGTCATCTCCGTCGCTGGTACGTCAGCAGGCGTCAGATGGTCATCGTCCCTGTACTCAAATTTGTCTTGCCGATTCATGTGCAGAAGTTTGGCATTCGGCCGTTCAGCCAACCGCAGTCCCGCCAAGCTGCGTGAATGCAGACAGGCGGACCCATTTGCAGCATCATTTAACTGCAAATTCCAAACGCAGGGCAGGGGATAGAAGAGATCCTTGTGCATCCAGATGAGAACATTCAAAATATCCTGCAAGTAAATATGACATCTTCCGATTAAAAAAAAAACACAGATAAAGGTATCTTGATTTCGGTGATTATCACCACAAGTCTGAGATGGAACGCCTTGAACAGACATCAACCCGTCAGCCAATCACTGTTCTTCTGGCTAGAATTCCCGCAAGAAAAGATCCTTGCCATCATGGGTATTTGCAGTAGCTAGCCTATCTCGTGAAATGTTGGCTGGTTTTTTGACATATGTTTTCACATAGAAAGGAGGATGGGATCGGTTACGCTGTCTTGGTCCCAAATGCAAGCGCAATGTAGGTATTAAAAGTAAAGGAGGATGCTGAAATAGTTAGTGGGGAAAGACGCCGAGGTTGAAACGGAAAAGGGCGACCTGATGTTTCGATTTAGAGGTTTCAGGGTCTGGGTTAGTGTCAGGCTGAGAACTCAGTTCAGGATTCGTGTTCCTGTTAAGTTTAAGTGTTTCGGTTATTGCTAGGGTTAGCATTGCGGTTTAGGTTTACGTTTAGTGCTGAGGTTGGGGTCAGGGTAGGGTTACGGTTAGGGTTAAGCTTAGCCTTAGGGTTAGAGTGAGGGTCTCTGGTGCGTTTAGGGTCAGGCGTAATCTTAAGTTTACGGTTGGCGTTAGGTTTATAATTACGTTAAGGATTAGGTTTAGCTTTCGGGGTAATAGTTAGGATTGCCGTTACGTTTGGAGTATCGCTGGCCCGCGTGTCCTGCCATTCAGGACTTTTGTGGGGATTCTAGACCCACTTCAGTCTCGCGACAGATTTGTCATACATCAGGTTGCCTTTTCCGTTTGAGCCCTGGATACGTGTCCAAACTAACGATTCCAGCATCGCTCTTCGGCTTACTTGCAACTCGATCCACATTCGCTGCGAAATTTCAAGAGCTCTTTACGGCATTCTCCTAATAGCGTGGAACAAGTACGATTTTCTTTACGCAGCACAAGTGCTAACGCGGGTTGGATTCAAAATTATCTAGGATTTTGAACCGAAATATATTTTTTCGAGTATAAGATTTTGAGATCTAAATTTCAAAAAATGAGCATAAAAAGAGGGGTTTGTTGTGTGTGCATTTGTAAGGGCATCGAAAACCGACTGGAATAGTTCACACTACAGTAGGCGGGCTAACTTACAAAATGTCAACCGAGATTCCGGAATTGCCTTTTCTTTTAGAAAACACTAATTAAGTAGGATTGTAAAACTTATCCGTATGCAGTATAATTCTATAAAAATTCACGTACCTCAAGATAGCGGCTTTTGAAAGAACTTTCTTTCGGTTGCATGCAAAAAGCAAAATCTTTAGAAAATGACTACATAAGTAGCATGCATTTTTTCGTTGATTTTCGATGCTTCTAAAAGTCCAATTATATTTCATATAAAACATGCATAAAATATTCATTCTTCCGGTCATTCGGTTGAAACTTACGTCTTCTTTCAATTTTATACTCAAAACAGGGGTATAATTCGGCTTTTAAAAACGTTTTCAATGCCCGAATCATTTTGAACCCGCTCTGCCATTACGCTTGCATTTAGGGTTTCCAAACTACAAGCCTTGTATTTTCCGCGTACGGAAAACCAAATACTTCTCTACGGTATTAAGATGACACCATATGGGTTTCATAAAATTTAATGTTGAATTTGATCCATATTGTTAACTTTACAAGCCACATTGGTAAATGCAGAGCCATAGCGTTTCATGAACGCTCATTTCACGGTATAAAAATGTCTAACAATTAGAAACTTTTTAAAACCAAATTCTGTCCCTCCATCGAGTATCATATTGAAAAAAGATGTAATTTTCTACCGAATGATCGGAGAAGGTACATTTTTATTCATTTTTTCCATAAAATATAAGTGAATATTTTAGCACATTGAAAATCAAGAAGAGAAATGCACACTACTTGCGTAATCGTTTATTTACAGGGTGTAGTTTTTGCATACAGCTGAAAATAATTTCGTTTAGAATTTGGCAGTCTGAAGCGACTGAATAATTTTTGAATTATTATAAAATTATGCTGCACGATGTTTCATTTTACAACCCCACGTAATTCATCTTTTTCAAAACGAAAATGCATTTCGGAATTTCAGTTGACATTTCATGAGCTAGTCCACTTACTCTACATAAATGATAATTTCTTATCAAATGTAGATTTACAGGCCGTTGGAAAAAAGTTCATACGAAAGCCGACACTCTTTCGTGGCTGCAATGTTTGCGGATTATGTTTTACGATAATCTGTCTAAAAAGCCTACCTATGCAATCCTTTCTCGGTGATATCCCATTTCTGAGAAGAATGAATTGCTCACCGGATCGGATCCGGCGAGCAATTCATTCTCCTCAGATTACCGACCCTGATCTCTTGCTTTTGCTAACCTGAAATCCCATTTGCGCATTTTTGTCAAACTGCTTTATGGGATATCTCCTTACCTCCCTGTGCTTTGAGTTAGTGCAAATCTGCTCTGAGATTTAGCTTGAACTGCCAAAAAGGGTGCAAAATGTGAGTTGTAATCACTGTTACACCTTTTTTCGAATCTAGGGAACACTTCATAGCGTTTCAGTAATTGTTTCGAAATATGAGGATACCCTCAATTAGCGCGTGCTTGGAACTGTTCGAACTCCTGGCAAACAAAGGCCAGTGTTGTGCTGTATGCGTTCTAAAACTGCTATTTCTGCATTTACTACTCATAGCACCTCAGCTGCGATTGTAAAACAGGGCACATGCATTCTTTAGTTAATTCTCTACTGATGATAAGAAGGCGTTATATTGGCACAAATTGTTGTTTCGTATGGTAGGATCTCCGATGGTCACCCAAAAATCATCTTTTTTCCACACAAACCTGCCTGCACCGCCGCATGCAACACCCTGGAGAACTGTCCATTTTCCTGATTGGTTTTCATTGAAATTATACAATGAAGAACGTGGACAAAAACATTATTCCTTATGCTTTTTTGATGAGATGCGCATATTTTTACATCTTTTATTCCAAAAAATATGTTTAAGGCCTTTCAAGTTTTACTGGCTGGGGTTTCTTAGGATTCTGAGGTGTCCATTCACTAGGCTTCGAGTTTGCTTGTTTTGTCTAATGTTTCTTATGAAGTATATGACATGCCTCCTATTCATTTCAAGACTTCATGAACCCTTCACGGCATCTTCTTAATAGCGCATGAAAAGTATGAGCTTCAGTATACGGAAGGTATGCAGCATGTAGTTTGGAGACTAGGCACAAGTACAAAGGCAGATAGAATTCAGAATCGTTTACGAATTGAAGTTCTTTAAAACCGAGAGATTTCTTTTCCCAGTTATAAAATTTGAAGAAGTCGCAAATTTCTACCAAATGTGCAGCATAAGTAGTAGTTTTTGTGCCTGTCCGGTAAAGTATATTTGCATGTTTAGGGAAATCAAAAATCGATAGGAGCAATTTATGCTACTCAATTAGCCATTTTTTTACTGAACGTAGATTTACAGGCGGTCGGAAAGGCCTCACTCAAGGCCAGCATCTTTTGGTTAGTGAAGTACCTTAGGATTATGCTGTACGGCAGTCAGTCGCTCAAGCCTACCTTAGCAGTCCTTTCTGACTAAAATTGCAGTTCACGATTTCAGTCAACATTTCACGAGGTATGGCCTGGCGTCTCTGTGTCTTTCGTTAACACATAAAGCTCCAAGTCTTGGTTTCAAGCACCGATGAAAGTAGAAAATGCGCTTCGTAATCACTACGTCTCACTTTTTCGAATTTTTGGCAACGTCCTACAGTTTGCAGTTCATTGTTTCGAAATATAGAGATACCCTTAGTTCGCATGCATTCACAATTATTTGGAATCCCGTCAAACAAGGGCGTTTGTAAGTGTCATGCTGCGCGTATCCGAAAAGTGCAACTTGAGTGTTGGCGATTTATAGTACCTCAGCCACGATTGTAAAGCTTGGCGCATACACTCGCTAGTTAATTCTGTTCGGATGAAAAGGAGGGCGTTATATTGGCATAAACTGTTGCGTCATATGTTAGGGTCTCGGATGGCTACCAAACATCATCTTTTTTTTCACATAAATCTACCTGCTCCGCCGCTTTCAACACATTGGAGAACTTGTGCAGGGCATTCAACGCGCTCCGCCACAGTTTGGTCCACCCACGCTGGCGCAAACGATCCAGATGAAGCAGGAGAACTCCACCATTATAACCGCCCTTCTAAAATGAAATTTTGGAAACAACTGTACGCTGCTGAAATCATTTGTTCACATTTCCAACCGCATGTGAAGGCATGTGGCAAGGATTCTAGTGCATTTGGACCAACGTTAGACATTGAAAACTCGTAAAAGATATATATCTTCTGCTTACACGGCGAATCAATGGGGTCTTTTTGTTTGTTAATGAATAACTAATAGATCGTCTTCACTGTGTCGAACAAGAAATATTTTCGCACATGATAACTCTTGGGCAGTAAAAGCAAAGAGAAGTAGCAGTAGTAGTAGTATTAGTAGTAGTAGTAGTAAAAACAGTAGTAGTAGTAGCAGTAGTAGTAGTAGTAATGGTAAACGGAAAGTGTTCTCTAATAATACCGAGCACACTTCCTCCTCGTCCTCCTTGTTGGCGTTCTGCCAAGCCTTTAAATATTACAGCAATAAATACTATTCTCAAAGCACGCTAACATCATGATATGTCATGTTTACTGTGTTCAACGAGGACAATTTTTATTCATGATGATACTTAGACAGCAAAAACAAGTGGTAATAGTTTTAGTGGTAGTAGCAGCAGTAGTAGTAGTAGTAGTAATAGTAGTAGTAGACGTAGTAGTATCAGTAGTAAAAGTAGTAAGAGCGGCAGTAGTAATAGCCTTAGTGGTAGCAGTGGTAGTAAACGGAAAATATCCCACAATAATGTCGAGCGCAGTTACTCTTCCGGCTGTGTTTGGCATTCTGCTAAACTTTCACATATTACAACAATAACTTCTGTTCTCAATAAAAGTTAGGCTACGCGTTGAAA